AGAACATCCGTCAGACGTACTCCATTGATCAGCAACATTCTCATCCCTATCAGCATCACAATCTCTAATAATACCAGAACTCGTATCACATGAGACAAAAGTCATATAATCAATCAAATAGCAATTATCATGCGATCTAGATCCTGTAAGAACACAAATATTATTCCTATCTGAAACCAAACATTCATTCAAGGTGAAACTCACAGAAAAGTCTTGATCACATAATTGACTCACACTCAGCAAATTCGCTTTCAAATTTTCAACAAGAAGAACATTTTGAAGTTTGGACAATCCAGGAACATTCAAACATCCTATACCGAGAACTCTATTCTTAACACCATCACCAAAGGTCACAGAACTAGAAGGAACAGGCAAAATATTAATCAAGTTAGATTTTAGACCTGTCATATGACGAGAACAACCACTGTCAAAATACCAATCAGAATTAGAAGTGGATTTCAATGCAAGTATAGAAGATAAGCACACGTTCTTACTGCCTATAGGAACCCAAATCTTTTTCTGTTCATGATTAACCACATCAACCTTTAGTTTAGGTGCTCTCAAGGGTACACCATGTGGACTCCATTCATCAATCCGACCAGTATAAATATCATTATGCATCCTATAACACTTAGGGCGAATATGACCACGGATACCACAATAGTGACAAACAGGCACAAAGTTCTTACCAGAGTTCTTATGCTGAGTTTTGGTAGAATTAGGCTTACCATTCTTACCTTCAAGGCTGTAGCCTTCTTTGACAAAAGTCAGGTCAGACTTACTCAGAGATGTGCTCGATTCGCCAACTTTACCTTTCAGTTTCTGATTAGGAGCGTTCTTACTCTGGTCGGAGGTACCAATTTGTTGACTCAGCATCTGAACTTCAGCAAATGAGGACTTGGGCTTGTTGATTATGTTGACAATCTCCTCACTCTTGCTGAGTTTCTCCTCCATTGTAGAACAATAACTCCTGAGCGTTACATGTTCTTCCATCACTCGACCGAGTTCTTCTTTGAGTGCAACAATCTCGGTATTTCTATCTGCTATAAGACTCTGCACAACAAACAATTCATTACGCAAGGATTCAATATTAAGATTTTTCTCATCACTTATCTGTTTGCTCAATTTATCGCCATGTTCCAGCAGAGCAATTTTGCCAAAACAACTATTGAGATCCTTGTCTTGCTTTTCAGCATGAATGTCAGAGTTGATGAGCTTCTCATTCAATTCAACGGTTAGAACTCTCATTTTCTGAAGCTCACTCCTGAGATAAGTGATCTCCTTTTCACGTTCTGCTGACCGGTGTTCCAACAGCTTCATCTTCTCTATCTGGACTTGATACTTCTTGATGACTTTGGCAGCTTTTACACACTTCTCTATGGTATACTCGTGAAGCACGAGGTTCTCTTCAGCTGGATCGGAGAACTCCTCAGTTTCAGAGTCGCTTAGTTCTTTAGCATAAGAACCTGCATCAGATTCAACATCAGTAAGATGCACAGAGGATGTAAAACATTTATACTCATTAAGAAGACATTTAGCATGATTATTGGTATAGCAAAAGTTTTCAGTCTTCTTAGATTCTTCATCCTCATCATCACTGCAGTCAGACCATGTTGCCTTGTAAGTCTTGTTCTTCCTCATGAAGTTTGGGCATTCCTTCTGAAAGTGACCGAACCCCTTTGCATTCCCGACACTGATCTTTTTCCACTCCTTGATTAGCATTCTGAGCCTTGTTCAGTTGCACACTGGAACGCTGCTCACCAAATTGCTGGATCATATTGTTACCACCTTCAGAGGGTTTGATCCCTTGAAACCTTTTCTTCTGAAACTTCTTCAGCTTTGAGACATTTTTGGTAAGAATAGTGAGAGCCCCCATAATCTCATCAGCATCAAAGGATTCGTCATCTGAATCATCCTCTTGTACAACCGCTGTACGAACCTTAGCTTTTAGAGCTAAGCCCTTTCCTTTGGATCTCGAATCAAATCCATTGTTTATTTCAAAAGTACGTAGGTCGCCAAGAAGATCATCAATCCCAAGTGGTTGAACTCTCTAGAAACTCTCCAAGGCCGTGATCTTAATTCCAAACCTATCCGGTAAGGTTCTCATCAACTTCTGCACTTGTCTCGCCTCTGATATCTCTTCACCAAGCATTGCACTTTGGTTTATAAGGTCACAGAAGCGAGCATAGTATATGTCTATGGTTTCATCATCTCTCATCCGGATCTCATCAAGTTCAGTCGTGATCCTCTGAAGCTTCGAGGATTTCACAGCGTTCGTACCTTCAAACTGCCTCTCAAGAATCTTCCATGCGTCGCGGGCTGTGGTGCACTGAATAATCATCTTATGGCGAGTTGGATCCACAGCAGACATGATAGCATATAGTGCACGAAAGTTTGCTTCTTCTGCTTGTCTTTCAACATCAGTCCAAAGATCCCTTGGTTTCTCGACTAGAACAGCCGAGGTTGATGACTTTGATTCCGAGGGAGCTTTCGGCATGAGTGGTGTGGTCCAGCCTGACTCAATGACTTGCCAGGTTCTTTTACCCAAAGAGCGAATAAATATCACCATCATAGATTTCCAGTATCCATAGTTAGAACCGTCAAGGTACGGAGGGCGCGAAACGGACATGCCGTCGTGAATCATGGTGACCAACCCAAGGACCCAAAGATCTTTATCCTGTAAGTAGAACAGGAACACTGCTCTGATACCAATTGAAACGTAAGTATTTTGTAACGAGTGCGCTCAACGTTGTTAGAACACAAATAAACAACTAGAATAGCGGAAGCGATAAACCGAAGATTTTAAAAACTCTTTAGGGAAGCGTCCCACTTCCCCTCAGAGCTCTTTCATTGATAAACCGTTTGTGCACACTTGTATATTTTGGACTTACACGACTCGAACTCCCTTCTAGCCTAGCCACAACTACACATGATTCTATCAACTACTTCTCCGACCACGTCCCGTGAATTTTACCTCTCGAATCCCTCGAGCTAAAGACAGTACTTAATCCCTAAGCACTGATCACACAAGTGTTTGAATGAAAAACAAAGAAAGGAAAACAAAACAGACTTCAGTTCTTCGATGACGTAAGAACACCGAAAACTGACCAACGAAAATAAAACACAAAAAGCTTGCAGCTCGAATATGGAATAGAATATAATGCTCTCAGCTCTCCAAATTCGACCTTTAAGTGGGTATATATACAACCTCCTTAGGGTTGGAGTCTTCTCCAAGTATAGGACTCCTTTTGTTTTTGATTTCCTTCCAAGTTTATCCAAAGAGATATGGTAGGTGTAGATCTCTATCTTCTCTTTCCAAAGATCTTTCCTTCTTATATGATTTCATACAAAATATATCCATAATAAGATCATGCAAATCTAATATATATGTATATAAATCGAATATATAAATATAAATATAAATAAATTCGAATATATAAATATAAATATAAATAAAAGAACTTCCCTTTTTATTTCTCATGCTTGCAAGAATATATCTTCACTTACATTAATTTTTGAACTTCATTGCCAAAAATATAACTCTTTCATGTTAAAATGTAATATATTAAAATTTGTATATTGCAATCAAGCCCCTGAACAATATCAAATTCTCAAAAATTAAACTCTAATCCCAAACATATATTTTTTTGTCCGTCAATGTCTATGGAGACGTCGCTGTCGATTGACCACCGTCTGGCCGACTCTATCCCGCCGTCTACTGCGTCTGGTTCGGTCAATGTGCACAGATGAAACCTTCGTCGTCATTTCACGTCCGAGAAATGACAAGCCATATTACTCCTCTTCTCGGCATTTAACGTACGGTTCTTTCATGGAGGTCGACTGGTTGCTGTGGGCTCGGGTTCCCCAAAAACGGACGCCGACGTCACACCATTCGATGAAGGAGAAATCCAGCACGATTTTTCTGGCAAGATGGTGCAATTGAAACAAGGAGATATAAAAGAGTGCGGCGGCGAGTACGACGGTACAGCGGCGAGTGCGGCGGCTCATTGGTGGTCTGGTCGTGTGCTTGAGAGTGCGTATGTGTTGTGTGTGTGTGTGTGAAAAAGAGTGAGGGAGGGGGTAAGTGGTACGAGAGGTTGGTGGTGATTATTGTTAATGTGTGTAGTGGTGGGTCCCACAGGATGGTGAGTTCGAATCAAATGTCTAATATACCCTTAATTAGTGGTCAAATGTCTATATTTGACCATGATATATTCATTTTCTAACTGTCACTCAATAAAGTTTGACTTGATCTTGACCATTGATATGATGTATCTAATGGTACAGATTTATATATTCTTATTTCTTTCACCATCTACCATTCTCATATTCTCATATAATCCATTTTCCATATATACCAAATGTCCAAAATAACCGAACCGACCAAATAATATATATATATATATATATATATATATATATATATA